TATATATATATATATATATATATATATTTCCTTGCACTGCTTTGAACTTATTCTTGTAAGTATCTTATCTCTATAATCACCAAGATTTCATCATATAATAATATTAAATATTAAAAAAATATTTTTAAAAATGAGTGCATATATATGTGTCAACACATATTTATAAATATGTAATGAAAATATTTTGAATTAAATCAAACTTATTTACAACAAGCTATCTATAAGCTACACATCAATTTTAATTTCAACTAAATTAAAATTTACACAATTATTAATTAAATTTTAAATTTTGAACATAATTTTTTGCCATATATCTATTGTATGGAATTTTTTGCCATATATCTATTGTATGGGTTAACAACCCAAAATTTTTATTTAAATATTTTAAAATAATTCGATTAGATATTGAATTTAATTTTTTGCCTTATAACAAAAAAATGAACCAATTAAGAAGTTGTTCAAGTCTGGTCACCGCTGTGGCCCGTTACAGGAAAAAATATTACCTCAGGAGTACTGATGCATCAGTACTCCAATGGAGGGGGTTTCACTTTACTTTATAGTGGGACCTCCTCATTGGAGTACTGATGCATCAGTACTCCTAAGGTAATATTTGGATCACCCATGAGAAATGAACCAACACTCCATAGCCTGAAGATAATAAAAAAGGCACTTATCAGTACACCTCCGCCGGCCTATTCGCATCGTCGCCGCCGAGCCACCGCCGGATTACCGAAATGGCTCTTCGCCTCCCGCTTTCAGCATTTGAAGCCCCACCTTGCGCTCTTAACGGTATCGCTTTCAGATCTCTCTCCCCTCTCTTCGGATCTTCCATCCTCAATTTCTCGCCGCCGCAAATCATCCGCCGCCGAAAACTATCATTCGTTCTTGCGGCCATCGGAAAGGATGCTGCTGACTTGAGCGTCTCCAGCGTTGAGTGGGATGTGGTGAATAAGGAGGAGAAGACAGATCTTACAGCGTCGGGCGAGTTGGAGGAGGACGCCAGCCCTGAGGACTTGGAGTACGTTGCAAAAATAAAGAGGGTAATCCTCTTTTCCGCTCAATCTTCATCTTCTCTTGTATGCGTTTGTTATAAGGGCGAATTGTTTTCTCTTGAAGGTGTTGGAGCTTCTGAAGAAGAATAGGGATATGCTCTTCGGTGAGGTGAGGCATTTTTCATTCCCATGGTGTTTTATTTTTTTGCAACGTGAAGAGAAGGTTGGATGGGAATCTCATTTCATAATGAGTTGTGAATTGATTTGGTTCATCTATGGAACTGTGCTGACTGAACCAGGAAGGTATGGTGGGATTTGTTGAGGAGAGATGTTTGGAGGGTGGACCTCCGAGGACTTGAGATCAACGAAGGGATTGACACCCATGGACCCAAAGCTTAAGCTGGGTTGCTAGCAGTGTATTAGAAACGCAAAAAAAAATTATTTCACTTTTTAATATGAGATAATTCTCCACTCTTATGGCATTCCAACAACAACAACAAAGCCTTAATCTCACTACGTACGTGTGGTCGGCTACATGAATCGTCGGCTACATGAATCCTTTTCTCCATTATGTCCTATTTAGTGTCATATTTTCATTTAGTTCTAATAAATCTTTTGATGGCATCCCAACAGAAGAAAAAAAAAATTTTTTTTGATGGAGAAGAAAGGAATTGATGCATTGTACTTATCATTAGTAGAAATTTATCTTTTTTTTGCCTCATTATTGGTGAAGGATACTGTAAATGATTATGGGTTTAGTTTCACTTCTCCTTTTTCTGTAAAACTTGATTCTTGAATTTGATAAAGAATTTTAGGTGGCATTTATGTTGGATAATTTGAATTACCTCTACTTTTTTCTGGCCTTTTTGTATCAGATAGCTGGAATTTAAATTAGATGGCCTTTGTCTTCTTTTTGTTTGACATTGTTTTTTACTTTTTCCTGGAGATATGAGTTCACAAATTTAATTTGCAAGAACACATCATCTTCAAGATAAAAGATATAACAAAGTGCCAATGCATGCTAACCCCTGGCTTTCTGCAATTTATGATGTTCTCTTGTACTTCATTTGAGGGACTAAGATGCAAATCTTTCTTTAAACATTTCTCTTAAGATCCGTTTGGGGCAGCTTATGCGTTTCAGGATAAGCTGTTTATTCTGAAACATAGTGATCTTCCCGCGGGTCGCTTGTTTAACAAATATAAAACACAGTTTTGGGATAAGCTGGAGAAACGAGTTACTAAAACATGACAGGTGCGTTTTCAAAACGCCGCCCGCAGTTATAAGCTGCCCCAAACGGACCCTTAGTCTTTTATTGTGTCATTAGTTTCCTTTTCATTCTCACAAATAAAATCTTCTTGAGTGATGGGAAGTGGAGAAAATTGAATGAAATCCCAACATTTTGTGGTTTGATTATCAATTTAAAATCATTGAGTTAAGCTTTTCAATTTTTTTTTTATCAACTTCATAGCATCCATTCACAACCTGAAGTAAAGTTATAAGTGCCTTATTACTGCTAAAGTTACTGCTGGAAGCCAATGACACAATATAATGGGTTTTATGCAAACACTTAGCATGGTGGCAGATTGGAAGTAGCACAAATCTTTATATTCTTTCTTCCACCATTATGTTTGATCCTACCTAGTGTTATATTTTTCAAGCCGCTCAAATGGTACACTGTACCATTTAGAACCATAAATGTAAGATGTTGATAGTTAGATTCCTGAAATTTCCCTTATTTAGGCATAAAATATGATTTTTTTTGGAAGTAAAATGTAGATCTTAGTTCGTAGTTTGAAGCCATAATATCTCAAGGCTTGGAGTAATGTCGGAAATATGAACTATGCAGTCTTGAAATCGATATCTATATGATTAGCCTTTTTTTACCTATTTAACACACACACACACTCACAAATAAAAACACACTGCATAGCAAGTCCTTGAACATAAGACCTATTGGTTGAAAGACAAAGCTCTCAAACACTACACGAAGGTGGCTTGCTATGGTCTTTAGTACGATGACTTACATCTAATCAAACTGATATTTCTTAGACCGACATTCAGCTGTAGCAAAACCTAGTGCATTCAACCTTTTGCTTTCTTAGATATTCAGGATATATTTTCATCACATATTAATCCAACATGATGTTCCAAATTAATTGCAATCCCTTATCTAACTTTTTGGATTCAATAAGATGAAATAAGTCATTTATATGCTTCAAAATGATACAAGTTTTTTTTAAGTGCACCAATCTTCATTTTTCATTACATAATTAACTGTATTCTATTTATATGCTGTTCTAATTAATTAACTAGTAATTCTTGTAATCAAAGTGTTACGGTAAATATTTTGAGTGAATTTTTCACTGGTGTCAATCTTCTGCCGTTTTAATCTAATAATTAACTATATTAACCATGATAAGCTATGTTCTATGGCTGATCTTTTTCTAGAACCACATATTTACATCCACCTTCTAAAGAGATTTTGGTGCTTATAATATTTTATTTGTACTAAAAGCTTTACTTATATTAGAAAGTACATTGATTCTCTTAAATATATATTAATAGTGTGCGATATATTAACTCTAAGTAGGTTCTTATTTCCTTTTTTGACTCAAGAATTTTAACAATAATTTTCTAATCTTTCATTGCATTTTTTGTAGAGGTGAACATGGCTTCAGATCTTCTAGCTTTACATTTTTTCTGTGCTATTTATGTATCAGCTATGGAGAAACTCGATATTGGTTTATGCATTTGATTTTTTTATTACCTTTTATATTTAATTTTTCAGGTTAAATTGACAATGATGATTGAGGACCCTAGAAACATAGAACGGAAGAGATTGCTTGGAATTGAGGACCCTGATGAGGTTACTAGGGACGACATTGCCTCTGCTTTAGAAGATGTACGTTATTCGTTGCCAAAAGCTGCATTAGTTTTAGGGGCATTGACTTAAATGCCACCCAATTCTTATGCATTTACATATCTAACACCTAAAATTTACTTTATTACATTTACCACCCAAATTTTTCATATCACATAAAAAATACCTCGATTTAACTTTTAAAAAGTGAAATACACCTTTTCGTGCAAGGTAAGTGGCATGTATGTAAAAATTGATGTTTAGGTGTTAGATATGTAAATTCATAAGAATTGTGTGGTATGTATCTTGCTTTGCGAAAGTACCTACTTATATGCTATAGTCAAAATGGCCAACTGATTCACAACTTGAATTAAATCTATATGGGCATCACCTTAATCATTAACTCCTTTCCTCCCCTCAATTCCTCGTTCTTCCTCCTTCGGTCTCTTAAGGCAATTAGATAGTTGTTTGCATGATTCTACATTCTTTAGCAAATTTGTAACCGACCAAAGATTCATTTTTGAAGGTATAATGGTGAGATTAAACTTAATTGTCTGCCTAGTTATTCAGTTGGAAAGCCTTGGGGGCTGTTTGAAATCTTTTTTTTTATTTTTTTTTATTTGTTGCTTTTTTTATTTTTATCTCTGTCAAGTTATAACATGGTTTATTATTTTTTAAAACACTCAAAATATCTTTTAGGAATTTTTAGTATTCTTAACAACAAATTAATTGTTTTTGAAAACAAAAAAATAAAAGCATGCAAAAAATACATTTAAAAAACATATTTTAAAAATAAAAGCCAAAAACAAAAACATAAAAGTGATCCCAAACAACCTCTCATAATAGAGCTATCTGTTATCAGGTCCATGAAGGAAGGATTCCAAAGAATCGTGTTGCATTAAGATTACTTGCCGAGGAGATGATTAATTGGCCTGATCTTGAGGTAAACTTCTGATTTTATTTTGTTCCAATTGTAAGGAGACTGCTATTTAATTTTTATGGCAATCTTATGATTTTGTTAAGGTCCAAAATGACATTGATTAGCTCGCTTGTGAAGATCAAAAAGTTTGGTCTTGTTAATGGACTGTAATGTAATTGCTTTGAAACATCATTTGATTAGAAAATTAATATTATGTTTTTGAAAAATTTTTATTACAGTTGAAACTTTATGTAATCATATCAATCAAATTATAAATTTTGCAATCCATTACACTTTTTCTTTTACAATATAAATATTTTGATACATTAGGCATTGATTTCTTAATGATCTAGTTGTTTTTTTTTAGAGTGTGCCGAGGAGCCCTATCTCATTGTCTTGATGATTATTATGTTTGAGTTTTTTCTCTAAAATAATTGGAAGTCCTTATACACTAACCCCAAATGATTAGGTAGTGCAAAATGTGTTATGTTGATCATTTTGAGTTATTTTATTGGGTTTGTATTTTGAATCTTGAGTTTTGTTGTGTCAGGTGGGGTATGTTCTTACATTTCAATGATGTTATCCTCCTAAGATTGTTTTTATTTTATGTGGTTGTTAAGGAATTTAGGAGTTTGTTTCTATTTTGAGTGGCTTCCTTTTCTGGTTGTTTTAGCTAATTATGTAGCCTACCACTGTTGAATAGCCGGCGATCTGTAGTGTGGTTTCTCTTGTGGGTTTCGTGGTTGTCATATCTTAGTGCTTCATCTTGTGGATTAGCTTGGCTCTATCTCATATTTCCATAGTTCTTAAAGGGTTTTTCGGTTTTGTTATGTTTGTACGTAGCCCTTGGATGATTTGGTTTTTTGTACGCATAAAGGCTATTTAGTCTCTTATTATTGTTGGTTATAGAAAGGCTTATTATGTTTATAACTAGGTTTATGCATGAGATTGTTGTTGTGAGTTTTAGGTTTTGGGTTTTGGAGATATTTCCTACTTCTTGCATTTCAGGAATTGGAGATCGTCTACCTCTCAAATTATAGGTGTTTATCTTTGTATTCATATTGAATTGTTTGGATTATTAAAGATTAATATTTTCTTTGCCCTAGTTTTTGTGGAAATTTGTTCCGATTTCTATGTCAGATCATATCAAATTGGTATTTGAGCATTTAATTTTTGGGAGATAAATCACGAGATCGTAACTTAGAGAAGCACCGAATCCTCGCGATGAAGATCACAACATAAAAGAAATTATGTTTTGCAAGACAATGGAGACCAAAAAAGGATGTCGACATCCAGAGTTTTGCAGTGAACCTCTTACAAGAATTCCAAATCTCAGCTTTTTGGAGTTTTACTTGTCCAAAGATCGGCGTCGAATCCGATTGCAACGGCCGCAAGCGCACGACGTGTAGATTAAACACGCTAATCCTGATTGTGAGGAACCCTTTTTGAAGGATCACGACACGGTGTACAGAGACCCCCAAAATGTCTAACTTGCTTCGTCGCAATACAATTTCGATTGAAGCTAGCGCTGACTCCAATGACGACAATGCAGGCAAGGAAAGAGCTATCGGGGATGTAAACAATGGGATCACAAAATACTAATGACAAGATCGCGGTTCACAAGAAGAGATTTCATTATACAGTAGTTCCTCCTCCGTGATCGAAAATCATTTTAGAGGAACAATAGCCAAGAAAGTAGATGATCTGAAGAAAAAATTAGAGAAATAGATGAGCCAAATCAGATCAGGATGGATGAAAAGTTCTCCACCATAGAAGGAAATTTTTGCTCCATTAACGATGGGTTTTCATCCATGAAAAACCGAATTGAGGGCCGATTTGAGAGCTTAAAGGAAATGCTGCGAAAGCTTATTGAGGGGCATTCCAAGAACCCGATGACTGTTCAGTTTGCAAACTTTACCCAGGGTTGACCGGAGATTCATTCATTAAATCACAACGGGAAGAGATTGAACGAATGGAACACGAGGAGGAAAACATCCATCATCAAGAACTTCCTCTAAAGGCTCCAATAAAGGGTGAATTAGAGATTTCTGATGGATGTGGTTGGGCTGAAACATGGAGAAGGGGTTATGCAAGGGGTATGGAGGAGCACAAATAAGAAAGGAGGGAAGCTAGGATAGGGTTTAACTATGACCGAATGAGAGAATTTTACAATCGACATTGGGAGAAAATAACAGAGAGAGAGACACTTGGGATGGAGATGCTAGAGTTAGGAAGTTGAGGATGATGATCTTCAAGAGAAAAAAATGCACATAGGTGAGTGTACAATTGTAGCGATACTCATCGTGGTAGGGTTTTGTTTGGAGGGAAAAAGGTCTAGTCTTTTTTTAGTGAAGGGATGCTAGATACTCAATCCGTTCATGTGAGGAATTTAAGAATTGTGTGTTGGAATTTTTTCAAGCAATTTGGGAATGAGACGTACACAAGCAATTCTATGCCTTGACTCAGGAGAGGAGTGTCATGGAATATAAGCAGTGATTCAAGTTATTGTCGGGGCTGTTGAGGGGGATTTCTGAAGCAGGATTGGAGGGTAATGTCATGAAGGGCAGAAAGCCAGAGATACAGGCAACACTTCTCCTATTGAGACTGTAGGGAGTAAGGGAGATGATGGTGCTAGCCCAAATGATGGAGGACAAGATCCAAATGGAGAAGGCCTGTAGGAGCAACACGGATGGAGCATCGTACCTAACTGCTACGACCACAACTATACCAAAATCTCAATTAGTGGAAGTTAGGGGTGTAAATAAGCCAAGTCGGCTCGAGCTCGACTTTTTAATGAGCTTACGAGCTGGGCTTATCAAGCCGTGAGCTCGAGCATAAACTTGATCTCGTTTGTTAAATGGGCTCGGCTCGTTGGCTTGTGAGCTGGGTCTAGAAACCTGTCACTAGTCATTTTGATTCATTTTTTGGTGAGCTGCCTCTGCATCATCCTCCAATAACTAATACCTTCTCCGATGAGCACTCATAGAAATTAAATTCTTAGTTCAAGCTTGCGAGCTGACTGCTATCTCTACGAGCTGAGCTGGAGCTCAACTCGAGCTCGAGCTCGAGTTTGAGCTCACTATTTGACAGACAAGCCGAGCTCGATAATAGCATTGCTCAAGATTGACTCGACTCGACTTGACTTGTTTACACCTCTAATGGAAGTCCAGAGGGGGGTTTCGCAGGACAGGAGTAATGTGTAATGACCAGGAGCAATGCTCAAGCGTCTTACAGTGGCAGAGATTCAGAGAAGTGAGCTAAGGGGGGTTATGTTTTGATTGTGGTGAAATGTTTATCCTAGGACACCGTTGCAAAGATAAAAAATTACATGTTCTCATAGTGCGTGACGAGGAGGCAATGGATAAAGAAATAGAGATAGGTGGGGGGTATTATTACACCGGTGTCTAGCTTAAGTGCAATTTGGTCTTTTATACGCCTAAGGGAAATTTAATTTTCTTTTATTTTTATTATTGTTGTTGGGTATAAACAGGTTTATTATGTTTCGGGTTATGTTTTTGCATGCAATTGTTGTGAATTTTAGATTTAGGGTTTGTGAGATTTTTAGGAGAGAACACCTACCTCTCGAATTGTAGGTATTTATCTTTATATTTGTATTGTGTTGTCTGAATTGTTAAAGATAGATATTTGATTTTCTCTAATTTCTATAGAAATTCATGCTGATTTTTATGTCGGCTCATCAGTTTTCTTCTTATCTTATTTTATATTTTATGATGTGGATGAGTATTTGTCCAAGACATGAAAGTACTTTTGTTACCTACTAATAACTTGATTTTGAATATGCAAATAATTTTTTCTCTATAATTTTGATTAATGACCAAATGTGAGATTTAAATATTGTCACATCCCTGATTTAAATGGCAGCACATTCTGACAACAGGGAATATGATCAAGAATTTTAAGCTTAACTCATGGGATAATTCTCAAAATTCAAGATCAAGTAACGAGTTTTTGTATTTAAGAAGATAAAAGATTGGGATATTAATAAATGTAAGAAAAAACATATAATAAAATTTATTTCATTAATAGAATCTTTAATAATAAAATTATGAGTAGATGTTTTAAAGGTGAATTTTGGTAAGAAAGATAGAGGTAGATCTAAAAAGGACCTGGGTATGTTGTATAAAAAATGATATTATTCTATTAGAATTAAATAAAAATATGACACTCGATAGTACACAATGTTGAAAAAAGATTCATGTAGCCGACCCCACTTGGTGGGATAAATGCTTGTTGTTGCTATTGTTGAATAGAATCTTTAATAATATTTTAGCAAATAAAAAAAAAAAACAGAATAACAAATGGAAAGGAAGGAAAAAAATAGATTAGCTATGCATAAAGAAAGACAAACCCAATTAAAGCCTAATAAAGAAACTAAAACTGGAGTATAAAGCTTGAATTAATGGAATAACTACTGTCGAAATATTTGCTCCTATGGTGACGATCAACCAAGCAACTTCATTGAAATTGTTAAAAAAAAATTTACAGCAAGTGAGTTTGACATTCCGAATCAATAAAAAACTTTCATTCTGTAAAGTGTAAATGCCAAGCTCAGGGCTTGCATCATGAATAATAGAATAGGCACATTTTACAATGTGATATCATAATAATGAATGTCTTTATTTCTTTAGGTTAGAGTACAATCCCATAGCATATAATCTAAAATCTGTCAATTGCTTTAAGATAAATTACAGTACATTGACGTTCATGAAAGTTCATATAAAAAATAGTAATCAATGCATTTATATATTAACATATCCATGCATAACAATATCATGCATTCTCATACATACCCAAAGATAGCTCATTAATCATCTATTGTAAAACCTTTTATAATCTTGTGAGTATTTGGTTTTGCCAAGGTACCCTAAATAGAAGAAATATTTTCACCAAACTGTAGGGTTTAATGACCCCATAAGAGTTGTACTTCTATGGACTTACCGGACAGGCTGGCCAATTATATCATAAAAGAGTTCAACGTGCGTATGTCCTCTTCCTCGCCCCATACAAATATGACCATTCTATAATATGATCAAATCTTATTATATATTTTTAGAATATGATTGCATTATAAAGATTTATCTTGCACCAACTAATAATGTGCATGCAAGTTACAATGGCTATGGATCATTCAAAGCCTAATGGATTTATACAAAAATTTTTCATAACAAAGCTATTTATGTATTCTATAGCATTTTAATATGAAAATTAAACAATATCTTATAAAATATGTCACGATCTAATTGAATATAAAGAGCAGAACTAGAAAGAGAACTAGAAATATACTAAATATACCTACTGCATGTATCAAAGTTAACATCCTTGACAAAGAATGGTACATTTATTCTTCAATCAAGAAAAATTATCTATCTTGAGTTGCAACGTTTGCATCTATGTTCTCTAATTAAAAAAAAAAGGAAGCACAAGATGAATATTAACATTTTTTGCACTATTTAAAAGTATAATACATAATCAATCACATGATAACCTAAGTCACCTAAGCAGATAAAAATTAATTATATTAAGCCTTGAATAAATTATTTATAAGATATCCAATTAGTCAACATGTTTAACAAATATCAAGGAAAAAATGACTCAAACAATAAAAATACTTTGATAGAAAAATTTTGACAACTATGTTGTTACAAGGAATGAAGGAGAAAGATGATTGAAATCACATTGAGGTCGACTAATAGGAGGAACTCTACTATAACCTTATTAAGCCTTTGAAATTATTTATATAAGAAAAAAAAAATAAGGATAAACTATAGCAACAATGGAATGAGATAGAATAATACTTGCAATGGTTGTGAAAAGAAGGGCAAAATTATGGCCTTGCATTTTAGGGCCTAGAGAAGAGAAAACAAAGATAAGAGAAGAGAGGGCAGTTGTGCTAACTTCATTCGCTGTTAAAGGAGCAGGGGATAAGTGGTTACGGGACTTTGACTCATACCTTGGGAAGAGTAGTGAATGAAGATGAGGGAGTGATTATCGAGTTTCCAACAACTACAAGAGAGGTATAGAGAGTGCAAAAGAGAGCTCCTATGATGTTTCAATACGAATACAAGGATATGGATACAGTACTATATGGATGCATGACACGTCTATTATTGAAAATATAGGATAATGATATACATTGAATATAATGTTTATATATATATATACTTATATTTATTGTATATCATAAATTTAGCTAAAGAGAAATTAATAGCTTGATATTAGATTAATAACTTTTAGTTGATAAAATTGATTTTCTTGAATAAAACATAAATATTATTAAGAAGTCTTAGGAAATAGAGAAGAACAGAAAAAAAAATCAGCGTAAAATAGCTATTAAGTTATTTAAATAATTTTTTTTAAAATAAAAGAACACCAGATATTAATGAAATATATTTTAAATTTAAATTTATCATTCTTGATAATTGTGTTGGTCATGTGTGTTTATTAATTTTTTTATTTATTTTAATTGGGGATATATAGATGACATGATGAACACATGTTAGGCAAATGCTTGTGCCTTAATGTGTTTTAAACAGCATATTTCATTATTATAGAGTGTCGATACTTCACACCCAATTTTTATATAATATGACTTCTGGTGGCGGAGCGAAGTCACAAGCTAATGGGAAAGATGACTGGGGTTGTTTGGGTTGAGGGCATTAGGCTTGTTTCTTTTTTTTTTCAACACATTGATTCATTTGTTTTTTTTTTACTCACTTAAAATAATTCAATCTTCAAATTCATACCTTAGTTATGAAAAGTTGTGGATATTTCATGATCATCTCTTCGTAAGTCTTCTATTTTATTCTAGTTTTGATGAATTCTTCTAAAGATTTTTGACAAATAAATGGAATAGAGCAACTATGAACTCTCAAACTTCTCACTACAAAATATGCTTTGTTACCTATTCTTAACTAATTTCTTCTTGAATAGAAGTAGCACATTTTGAATAATATAAGTCATCATTAACATTGTTTCGTAATAAAGATATGTAAAAAATATTATGTAATCTTGTATGTCATGGAAGAAAAGCTAATTGATATGAACCATGCTCACTTTCTTATTGTGCATATCAAGAAGCTTTACCTGGGTCATATATTAATGACAAGAGGATGCTAGAATGAACCCAAGGTGATGATAAAGAGACCCATAAAAATCATTCACTAGATCTCTAGCTAAAGTCTAAAACAAATGAACAAAATAATGATGCCTGTTCCACTAGCCCACTAAGGCCCATTTTGTGCTTGGTTTCTAAATCATGTAATTTTTAATTTTCTTCAAAACTCCAAATTTTTTAATAAAAAATGTTCTTAATTTATTGGAATTAAATGAAAATATGGATAAAAGGCTTTTGTTGCTGTCTTTGTTGTTCAAAACTCCAAATTTTGGAACTTCAAGTTTTAAATTCAACCATGTATCTATTATATAGGAAGCATAGGACTGCATTGGAAAATGTGACCTTGCATAAAATGGTGTGTCAATTTAGTGTATTCTATTAATGTAGACCCTTTTTTCTTTTATTTTTATATTTTATTTTCTATTTTTAATTTTTCAGGAAGATTTTAGTAACATAAATAGCCCTCTTTTCATGATGAAAAATTATTTTCATTATTTGCAAAATTACTTGAGTTTACTCATTGTGTTTGAGGGCTTGGCGTCCTTACATTGGTATTCTTTGATGTGATTCCTAGTTATCTCATGCTGTTTTCTTTCTTTTGTCCCCAATATTTAAGGTAACTCATTCTCTTCTGCACATGTCCTTACATCATTTCTAACCATACTCCAATCGTTTAATCTATCTTCATAAACTTTCACCTTCAATCCAGCCATTTGTATCTCCACTCCACTAGTCAAGACTTTGTGTTGTTTGGGGCAGATGCAGAGCTGTGAAGCTGCTGTTCAAAAAACTGCTGTGGTTATTAAGTTTTTTTTTGTTTTTCTAAAGTCAGACCACGATTTGCTAGTAGCCACCGCACTTAGCCAGGTTCGGGGGTAAAACACAACTTGTAACTACAGCTTTTTGAAAAAATAAACAAAATGCAGTTTTTTGAAACAGAAAAAATTGTGCTGTGGTATCCACTGCCACCGCATCCCCCAAACACACCATTAGCCTAACCCTTTAACCTCTAGATCTGGTCACATACCTGATATATATTTAACATCACTCCATATCCATTCTCAAAGATCTCATCTCATTCATCATAGATTTAATCCATTATCTAACAGCTCTCATTTTTAACAATAAATATATTAAGACTAGCTATTTTGCCTCCCTCTTAGGCCCTTGTAACAAATTTTGAGAATAGAATCTCTAGACACTTTTTTCAATTCAAATTATTTTACTCCAAGCTCCTTAACTTTTTCACACGCCCTAATCTACCACTCCACAGGCTACTCATGCTCTTAAAGCAACCACGATCTAAGTGCTACTCATTATTTTGGTATTAGAGCCTAAAATAGGAGGAAAAGAGCAAAGGGGAGACATGTCCATTACCATATATGCTTACTTATGGTTAATAGAATTTACTTTCTATTAAGGGATAATCTCTTACTCAATGTTTAGTTATTTTCTTTATGTTAGTAAAATAAAAATCTAGTCAAAACTTTGTGCTATCTTTATATCACTTGTAAATCTATGTTGTGAGAACGACCTTCCAGCTAGTTGCCATTGCTATGAAGCTAAATCATACATTTGAGTAAACCTACCCTTATTTTTTTTAGTTAAAGTAAATCCTATAAAGAGGGATTGCTCCTCATATAAATTTTTCATAACTATAATGCTTATTTAACTTTACCCTGCTTTCTTTAGCCCCTGGATGTAGCTCTCAATAGACTCACATGTATGTGTGTATAAACCAGCCTTCTTTTACATGACAATCAAATCCATTGCTCTTGTTATACGGTGTTTCAATTTTTTGCTGCACTTAAAATATTTGCACATCATCTTTTTGTTCATGACGATAATATTGCATCATGTAAACATTATTTTGATTAGCTGATGCATCTAAGCTTGGGAAGTTGCAAAAGCAGCAAAAATATGCACAAAGCTTATATTGTCCTGCAAGTCGGTGTATTTCGTCGTATTTTGAAGTAGCCAACGGACCATTGGCGCAGTTCTTCCAATAACACAACGAGAAATACCTCTTCTTTGGTTTGCTGACCATATACTCTACCGTCCCAAAGAAACCAAATACTCGGGCTGGCACACCAGCTCCACCTTTTCCACTACCTATTAGAAGAAATATGGCTTTTCTAGTTTTCACATAGGAAATTATACATCTCCGATAAGCCAGGAACCTATTAAACTGCCTTATACTCATATTATCGCTCTGAACTACTCATGATGTATACCAATCTTATATACAGGTTGAAGCTCCAAAGGAGAAGCGTGTTAAATCTCTATATGCTAAGGCGACAGACACTGGAGTTGATCCTCGTGAAGCTGCTAAGAGACTCAATATTGACTGGGACTCTGCTGCTGACATCGAAGCTGAGGAAGAAGATGAGGACATAGACGTTCCTCCTGCTGTGGTAAACTCATAACAACCTCATTTGCTTTAGTTCTATAACTCTCTTCAGTTCAGATTCATGTTCCTCGTAAATTTTTTTTTTTATATTTATTTTTTTATTTGCTTTCTGAAATTTGCTATTGATTTATGACATCGATGATGATTTTGCTTTATTTTTTGATTCTGCTTCATTTCAGTTCTTACGAGCACTAAATGATTTACGCTTTTGTACTTATGTTCAATGCAGGGTTATGGTACGTTGTATTTAGTGACGGCTTTGCCTCTCTTAATTGGTGTTTCTGTCATACTGGTTCTGTTCTATAACTCTCTCCAATAGGAAGTAGGCCCTCATTTTAGCTAAGAGAAAACTGTCAAATGGTCGCTTGACACTTTGTAGGGGGCTATTTTAGTCCCAAAGTCTATAAAAGTGCCAATTTAGTCCCTGCATTCTCTTAATATGGGCTAAAATAGTCCCATATTAAAAGAGTCCAGAGACTAAATTGGCATCTTTATAAACTTTGGAACTAACATGACTTCATGTAAATAGTCAAGGGGCTATTTTGGCACTTTACTCTTTCTACTAACGTGTGAATTTTACTTGTAAATGGTTTGTGTATAGATCAGTTTCTATACATTTAGATAGGCCTTTTGCCTCTTTTTTCTCATATTTTTAACTACAGTTGACTCAAAAATTAACCATGCTCTTATTAATTGAGTGACAAGTTTCTTTGTATTTAGTGGCAAGCATGTAATGGAGCTGTTTTATCTATTCAATCCTATAATCTTGGGCTATTGCTTGCGTTGACTTTATTGGATTCTATATTATTATTTTATTACTGTAGATGTTTATAGACGGTCAAAGCATCCAACATGGAGTATCAAATCAGGTGACTTCCAGCCTATTAATGTCTTTTTGGGCATTTTACATAGACGCCACCTAATTCCTATGTATTTACATATCTAACGTATAAACTTTGTTTTTTTTATATTTCTAACACCCAAATCTTTCATATTGCATCAAATATTCCACTATTTTAACTTTTAAAATGTAAAATACACCTTTTTATCCATAGTTAAGGTGGCATATATGTAAAATTTGAAGTTAAGTTTGAGATATGTAAATATATAGGAATTGGGTGTTATACGTGTAAAACTTATTTCTATTTTTATATGAACTCTATTCTTTATGGTTTATCATTCTATTTGGCCTTTGGAACTCTGTTGCTATGCTGTTCTTTGTTAGTTTTTTGTGGATAGTTTCTATTGAACAAATCATACTGGTTAGATGTCAATGGTTGTGAGAAGTTCAATCTAATGGCTATCAGCTTGGACCGATTAAGCACCAACTATTGAGAATTTTCTAGCCTAAATCAAGTTATTTTCTCACAACTACGCCTGATTATAGTTTTTGTGCATTTATAAAGATTGACTAATGTTTTAACGTAATTAAATTTTGATTCTTTATCTTTTTTTTTGTTGTTGTTGCAGGACTTGCATTAACTATATGATTGACCAAAATGATGTATCTAGGTTAGTTTTAACCCCGTGATCTTCGTGTGGGTGCCACTTTCATTCATTGAGTGAGCCTTATGAGCGTATTTGGTGTTTGGAATAGAATCCTTACTGTAAGTTTCTTGAGAGAGGCTCATTGAAGAGTAAGTCTTGGGAAAGAAATGTGTGTAATAGGGGCTTTTTGCCTATTCAAAAGTCTTCAAGTGTGACTTCTTGGTGGATGGGTTTTTGGATGCATAAACAAGTTTTCAATTCAAGTTTTGCATTCAACATCAGATATGTTGAATTTCATCATGTAGGAACATCCAATCATAATATACTTTTATTTTCAATTATTTCTATTTCAATGCATTCCTGAAACTTTTGAAGTCGAGGAGGAGATTGTCTTATAAACCTACATCTGCTCTTATACGAAGTTCAAAATAACCCACCTATTTAATCCCATCTTGAACAATTAAATTCTTGATATGAGCAATGCATCTCATGTGTAAGAACTTACAATCCAAGATAAGCGATGATGCCATTGTTGGAACTTGCATTATCAACTGTAACCGTAAAAACTGCATCAATCTCTCAATCAACGAAGCATTTTTCAACTTCTTGTCCAACAAATTCTCCTTTATGACTATAAATTTGGCAAAAGTTAATTAATCTTTTGCTCAATTTCCAATCTTCATTAATGTAATGCACAGTATGACACATATAGTTGATTCTTTAAATGGAAGTCCAGGTGTCAGTTGTTAAACAAACTCTTTTACATGATTTCTTAAAAAATTGTTTCAAAGTTTACCTCTTATCTTAGTAGAACTGAAAACAGTTACGAGTAAGTGTCCATCGAGAAGAAATTTGAAACATCGGACAACATTTTGACTTGAAATATTTGAACTCATATCCTTCATTATGTTTGAAAGGTAATTCATCTATGATTTCCATAACTGCTAAAGCTTTTCTAACAATATCTTGATCAAATCTCATGCCTTAAACCTCCATTTGTCTCATCTTCTTTAACATTTTGCTGCAATAGTGATTGAGCCCGAGTTGATTGAAGATTATGAGGATTTTTTTGGCAAACAGAAAGATGGGTTCGTAAATTTGTTGTACCATTAATTTTTGGATCACTATGATATGCCTTTGCACAATAATTACACTTACTCATCTTCCCTCCTTAGCCATGAATTTGGTAAAATGATCCCAAACATCAGATCTTGGTCTTATGGATTTTCTTTTATTCTTCTCATCAATTAATTTGATATTTTGATGCATTGACATCTCCTACACATTTAACTTGTTGGGTAGCGTCAATAGGCACTTATTGTTGAGAAGAATCCAAGACATTTAAATACTCTCCACGACGTGACATCTAATCAAATTATAACAAAAAGAAAAGAGATTATGGTTCTACAGTTATTGAGGAAGTATTCTCAGACTCTAAACCAACCAAATTGGAGGATGAAATCTCAAACGTGAGGCCTTTAATTCCGGCTTTAACATAAACCTAATGAACAGATAAAAAGAAAAAAGAATTCTACTTTGCACTCAAGAACCATTTTATTTTGCATGAATAAGATATAACAAGTCACCAAAGAGGAAAAACTGCTTGCATTACTTTCCAGATTTAAAGAAAACTGCTTGCACAAATGACATAAGAGTTATTTATATCTATAGTATCAGTTTTCAATAACCAAAAGACACCAGGTATAAACAACTAAATTGGAGGAAGTATTCTTAAACTCAAAGTCTTTAATCTTAAGGCTATAACAAAGACCTCATAAACAAAGAAAAAAGAAAAAGAAATCTGGTACAGAGAAAAAAAATTCCATAACTATCTTTATTTTTCAAAATGATCTTTATCATGTTAATTCGAGCAAAAAATTTGAAAAAAGAGGCTGATTGCATTGCATAACTTCATACTTAATATGATATTTGATTTGATCTCTAATATGAGCTTGTCGGCACTAAAAAAGTTGGGGGGTTGTGGAGTTGTCGGTTGCCAGGATGGATATTCCAACACCCGGTTTAATTTAATTTAATATATAATTTGGAAAATTAGTATTTTAGATTTTTTAAAATACAAGACCGGACCGATCTTATATCCTCAATAGTTTAAATAAACGAGTCTAATACCGCAAATAATGTATTCATCCTGAAGGATAAACACTACTTAGTGGTAAAACTCGATTAAATAAACTAAAGATTGTATGACACCCGTTAAATCTGCGAAACTATTTTTTATTATAAGCCGATAAGTTCCCCTATTTAATATGAAGGATTAAATAGAGTTTATATTAAGCTGGGTTTAGAAATGCTTCTTATAATGACAAACTACTATAGTTAATTACATCCTAGATAACTGAAGTCACCTAAGAAAACTCTCGATAAAAATCAGAAGAAATTATCTTCAAAGAATTCAAAGAAATAGGACTTTTCAAGGGGATTGGACAAAGATGAGTGAAAGGGGAATGACTCGAATTCAGAACATTTTATTTTAGAATCTAAAGGGAGAGATGCTAAGAGATGTCATAGATTCGGAGGAGAACATCGGTGACTTCCCAAAACTATCCTACTGTTTGGCTTCAGTTTTGGAGACTAGAATTATTGAATGTTTCATCTTGCCAATTTTATTAATTAGGGTTTACATTCGTGCAAAATGATCACACAAATATCTTGGAAGATACGAAGATTTAGGTCTTAATGAACGAAAACCTCATAATTGTAAGACGAATTAGGACTTATATTGTATAGCAAAACCATACAAAGACCTATGCCGCATAAGCAAACAACCTCAAAGTCTTATGGATTGTTGTTTAATTCTAAAGAATGATTTAGCTGGTGTAGACATGTTTTGCTGTTGAAGATGGTTGTGCTGCCCACAATGCTAGTTCCAAGTTCCTTGTCGTGGCGAGTTTAAGTTTTTTAATGTGTCAAGTTCTGATGTCAAATCAAATATTTCCTATTGTTATGGTTATTTTAAATATTATGGGGAATATTAAAGTTGATTAAAGCGACACCGGTTATAATCACATGGTTCCTTCGTTCCAATATCACTATTTTCTTTCGGATTCACTTAATCCAAATGAATTTACTAAACTCAACTTAATTGAGTTCCATACTTTCATTTAGACCATGAGAAATCTAGTTAGCAACTGTAGGTTACCTCTTCCGAGAGATTCACAATCATCCAATACAGACGTTTTAAGTTAGTTACAATTTTGGTTTTGTGATTTTTGTGATTAAATTGAGTTGTCTTATATTTTAAATGTTGTGACGGTGAGTTTTATCTTGTTTGATTTTAGTTTTGGTTTCAGTTCTATGGCTATCATAAAAGTTTTAGTTTTGACATGCAGAGTGATATTGTTGTTTAACATGCAAGTTCATGAGCATGACACAATATGTAAAAATAAATTACAGTGCAACAACTTAAAAAAATGTACCTGTCAATTCTTCTCGTTCTTCCACCTGAAAGTTCAATACTTGCAAGACATATGTATATATATATATATATATATAATTTTGCAAGAATTAAAAGATGCTTGTAGAAAAAGTAGGAAGCGTAGGAAGTATAATTTTAAGGTGTGTCTATCAAATTCCTATGTCATATCTTAGTGGGTCCTATTCATTTAAAGGTATAGATGATTTCTCAATCAAGACATAATGAGTTTAATCATACTTCAAGATATCCAAAAGAGTATGAGAATGGTCCAGAGACAATGCCCCAGACATCTTACAATCCCTTAAAAAGTCTCGAGTTTGTTCAAACTCATTATGTTGCTTAATAACTCATTCCTAGCATACCCTTATGCTCAATGAACTAATGTTCTAGCCAACCCTAAGGATGAATTAATTATCACTTGATGTTTTATTTATAAATTATATAAGTAAAGGCCGTTTGAGGCGATTTGGTCTAATTAAGAAACTTAACACTTTGATTTTAAAGATGGGCTTATAGTGTTTTAAAAAGTTTTGAATTAGTTATAGATTATTTTATATAACCTCATTAAACAAAATTTTGGTTAAGCATATTTCACTACTAAGCCCTTAAAAATTGATGGGTAGATTTGTAATTTTAGTAAAAGATTTAAATGTTTATACCTTTAATCCTTATCTTGAATTATAAATCATTTCAAAACCATTAATTGGGGCTTAAAAATCAGTGAGTTATAATCTTCCAAAAATCAAACCCCTCACATTAACATCTTTTTTTATTTAAATATTCTTCCAA